AAAACAAACAAACAAACAAACCAACCAACAAACCAACAAAAAACCTAACCAAACCAACAAAGCCCAGCTGTGCATGGTGGCACATGCCTTTAATCCCAGCACTCCAGAGAGGCAGGCGGATCTCTGTGAGTTCGAGGCCAGCCTAGTCTACAGAGTGAGTTCCAGGACAGCAGGCTTACACAGAGAAACCTTGTCTCTGCTGAAATTTTGTAGCAAGAGTTGAAAATTATTGATCCATTGGTGTATTTAGCTATTTTATTTATTTATTTATTTATTTATTTATTTATTTATTTATTTATTTATTTATTTATTTTTTTTGTGTGTGGGTGGTGGTGATACATGGTGTACATGTTGAGGTCAGAACATAAGTTTAGGGAGTCAGTGTTCTTTCTCTCTCTCTCTTTTGTTTTTTTCCAGACAGTGTTTCTCTGTGTAGCTCTGGCTGTCCTAGGATTTGCTCTGGCCTTGAAGTCACAGAGATCTGCCTGCCTCTGCCTCCCGGGCCCTGGGATTAAAGGCATGCACCACCACTTCCTGGCTCAGATCTTTCTTTTAACATATGGGTCCTGAGGATGAAATTCAGATCTTACTGGCCCTCACTCAGCAATTTCAAGAGTGGTATCCTATATCCTGGGAGCTGTATAACCATCAAAGGATGAGTGAGAAGAAACACGAAACTGTTAAATGATATAATTGATCAGAATTTCATTAACTGTCATAATAACATTTAGGAACTTTCATTTTCATTTTTTATTGTATGTATGTGTGTCTATGCTCACAGTGCTAGTGTGGGCCAGAAGAGGGCACCTAATCCTCTGGAGCTGGAATTCAAGGCAGTTTTAAGTCACCTAATGCGATGCTGTGAACTGGACTCAGGTCCTCTGAACAGTAGTGTACTGGGTGGTTTTGTGTGTCAACTTGACACAAGCTAGAGTCATCAGAGGAAGGAGCCTCAGCTGAGGAAATGCCTCCTTGAGATCCAGCTGTAGGGCATTTTCTCAATTAGTGATCAATGGGGGAGGGCCCAGCCCATTGTGGGTGGTGCCATCCCTGGGCTGATGGTCCTAGGTTCTATAAGAAGGTGGACTCAGCAAGCCATGAGAAGCAAGCCAGTAAGCAGCTCCTCTTCATGAGATTCTGTTCCTGAGATCCTGCCCTGTGTGAGTTCCTGTCCTGACTTCCTTCCGTGATGAACAGCAGTACCGAAGTGTAAGCCTGAAAGAAACCTTTCCTCCCCAACTTGCTCTTTGGTCATGGTGTTTTGTCACAGCAATGCTGACCCTAACTAAGAAAAGTAGCAAGAGCTTTAAACTGCTGAGCCATCTCTCCAAGTCTCCACGAGACAGTTTTTAGGTGGGGACTGGACTGGGGTGTAGCTCAGTGGCGGAGTGCTTGCCTAGCATGCTCAAGACTGAGATTAATCCCTCACACTAAACACACACAAAAGCTAAGTAAAAATGTTGGACCGGGCAGTGGTGGCCCACGCCTTGAATCCCAGCACTCAGGAGGCAGAGCCAGGCGGATCTCTGTGAGTTCGAGGCCAGCCTGGGCTACAGAGTGAGTTCCAGGACAGGTTCCAAAGGTACACAGAGAAACCCTGTCTCAGAAAAACCAACCCCCCCCCCAAAAAAAAAGCCGGGCGGTGGTGGCGCACGCCTTAATCCCAACACTTGGGAGTCAGAGCCAGGCGGATCTTTGTGAGTTCGAGGCCAGCCTGGTCTACAGAATGAGATCCAGGGAAGGCGCAAAGCTACACAGAGAAACCCTGTCTCAAAAAAACAAAAACAAAAAAAGTTGGCTAATATGTATGTATCTATGCTTACATGTCTATTGTAAACATTTCCTGAGCACTCATAATAGGCCAAGCACTTTGTGTGTTCATTTGATTCCTAGAACAATCCTGTGAAATATTACTATCATCTCTAATATGCAGATGAAGAATCTGAGGTAGGGAGCAGTTAAGTAATGGAGCTCCTCCTAATAGGCAGAATTAGGATACAATTTCAGGCTAATTCTAAAGCCTGATTCTGCGTTGCATAAATCCCGGGAAAGACCCCAGGAAGGGAAGACCCTAAACACTTTTCAGGGGAGCTTGTTGGGTGCCAGCTAAAGGGAATCCTGGAAGGGGAGGAGCTTTTGGGAAGAGGCTCTGTTCTATAGAAGGGCTGATCAATAGAAGCGGGAAGAGTGAGAGCATCACAGGGCAGTGTGACCCAGGGCTCCCCACCCCCTCCCGCTCTGGCTCCTGCTGCTCACTGCAGTGAGCAAGCAAAACAGGCTGAATGGAAGATGCCTGGTGCTTCGCTCCCAAAGCTTTGGGGCTGGAGAGAGAAGGACTTGGGTTGGCAGGGGTACCAGAAAAGAGAGACATAAATTAAGAGAGCTAAGAAGGTGTGCTAATGAGGGGAGCTGGTGTTGGGAATTCAGGAGTGACTCAGAGAAAGTGTTAGCATCATCCTGTATTCCCCTCAGCTACCTTGGCACGACTTCCTGACATTTTTCACGCTAGGGACTGCCAGGATCCTGCAGACGTCAGCCTCTGCCCTTCTTTCTCACATACTGGCTGTTCCTCTGCCCTAGAACTGGGAAGTGGACATGGGGTGTCTATATCTGGGGACTCCAACTGATCCCTACAGGGTTATCTTGAATTTGGTGGTGCCCGGTCCTTATTTATGTGTGACTCTGCTGTAGTTGAAGTTCGTTAGCTTCACCTGACTTTGGTAAAAGTGGACACAAGTTTCATGTATCTCCAGAGGAAGACTCCTCTACTTAAAATTTTCCCTCCCTCCCTCCCCTCTCCCTCCACAGTGTGCTTACAGGTGTGTTTGTTTGCATTGCTTGGGCCTGAGTGTGTGTGTGAGGGTGCACGTGCCTGTATGTATGGAGGATGGAGGTTGACACGGAGTGCCCTCTTCAATAGTTTATTCAGGCAGGGTCTTCTGCTGAACCCCAGGTTCACCAGTTCTGGCTTGTGGTTGGTTGTTTTTGCTCTTTACTCTTTTGAGGGGCCCACTACCCAGCTACCAAATAAGTACACGGAGGCTTATTCTTTCTTATGAATGCCCAGCCTTAGCTTGGCTTCTTTCTAGCCAGCTTTCCTTAACTTAAATTATCCCATCTACCTTTTGCCCCTAGACTTTTTTCTTTTCTTCCATATATCTTACCTTCACTCACACATGGACAGGATTGACAGATTTATAGCTCTTTCTCGACAGACAGGGTTTCTCTGTCTATCTTTGCACCTTTCCTGGAACTCACTTGGTAGCCCAGGCTGTCCTCGAACTCACAGAGATCCCCCTGGCTCTGCCTCCCTAGTGCTGGGATTAAAGGTGTGAGCCACCACCACCCGGCCTTACCTTCACCTTCACTCTTACTCGGAGGTTTTCTGTGTAGCTGTGTGGCCGGGTGTCTGGGTGGCCAGGTGGCTGGGTGGCTGGCTCCTGATGTCCCCCTCCTCGATCCCTCTTGCTCCTCTTCTCCTCCCAGATTTTTTCTCCTATTTATTCTCTTTGCTTGTCAACCCCACCTATCCTTTCTCCTGCCTTGCCATCGACCTTTCAGCTCCTTATTATTAGACCAT